CAGAGCTCTCTGCTGCCGTCCTTCCCCAGCAGCAGCGGGGAGCAGCGGGGACACGGGCCCAAGCTGCATCCCTCCCCTGCCCAAACGCGGCCGCTGGTGTCCGCAGTACGGTAACCAAGGGCTGACAGACACCCCGCACCTTCACAGCACCCCAAGAACTCGCTTCTGCTGGGATGGTTTTAGCCCGTGGCAGCTCCCAGGCCTGATCCTGGCTGAGTGACCACTGGAAGTGCTGCTGGTGCCTGTCCCAAAGCCTGCTCCGTCCACAGCATCCTCCATCCCTCACAGCACCCACACCACAAGCAAATTAACAAGTCTCATCTAATTTCTCTCTTTTACCAACTATATTGCACTGTTCCCCCCCGGAAAGCCACCGTTAGGAGCCCTGTGAGCACACCCCAGGCATGGAACCCCCGGGCTGCAGAGAGCAGCAGTCAAGCAGGACCCCTGGCATTATACCGACAATAAAAGATTTCCATGTTTCTGGAAAAACACAGGAACCAAGAGCACAGCGACAAGTTCTTCTTGTTCACAAGGCACTTTGTACACAGGAAGACAGAAAAGGTCCCAACAGGCTGAACCAGCAGGTATTTCACTCCTGAAAGGAACACCAGCCACACAGGAGAGGTTTTACAGACCCAGACCAGCTGCAAGGTTGGCTTAAAGCTTCCACCGGTGATACCAAAGCACAGGAACCTTTGGGGTGTAGGAGCTGCAGGAGCTGGGTGCTCGGCAGACCTTTGCTTCGGCTGAGCTGGGGGACCCTGATTTTAAATGGCTTTTTAAGTCTCAGAGCACCTCTCACAGAGCAGGGTCACCCTCCTGGCCTCAACCCCCTCGCTCCTACCTGTAACATACCTACAACAGGGAGGTAACAAAGAGCCATTCAGCCCGGGCTAACGCTGCAGAGCAGCAGTGAGCTGATGGGGCCCCTTCGGCCCCTCTGCAGGTCACAGACACGGTGATCCATCACCGACACATGGCTCACTGGAGCACCATTTATTACAGAACCTGCCATCAAACCCCCCCAGCCCGCAGGGGCTCGGCCTGTCCCTGCCCAGGGCCCACCCGGCGGGGCCCGGGCCGGTCCCTGCCCGGGGCAGAATCGGTCCAAGAAGTCCAGATAGCCCTTCCTCTGTGGCGCAGCCGCAGGGATGAAGTGCCCGCCGGGGTGGCTGAGGACAAGAGGCTCCACGAAGCGCTGGGCCAGCTCCCTGCTGAGAGGGGCTGCGATGACAGCGTCGGCGTCCCCCACCACGTGCAGCGTGGGCAGGGCGATGGGCTCCCGGTAGAAGTGCTCGTGGGCCGGGGCTCGGCTGGCAAAGCCGGCCACCAGGATGGCGAA